TAGGTTTTATTGGTAGAGGGATTGAGTTTTGGAGCCATGAGGTCATGTTGCAGCTGTACAAAACTCTGGTGCGGCCGCACTTGGAGTATTGCGTACAGTTCTGGTCACCGCATTATAGGAAGGATGAAAGTTCATAGAATCCCTACAGTGTGGAAACAGGCCCTTCGGCCCAACAAGTCCACACCGACTCTTGCAGCATCCCACCCAGACCCATCCCCCTATAACCCACACACCCCTGAACACTATGGGCAATTTAGCATGGCCAATCCACCTAGCCTGCACATCTTTGGACTGTGGGAGGAAACCCACACAGACACAGGGAGAATGTGCAAACTCCGCACAGACAGTTGCCCGAGGCTAGAATCGAACCTGGGACCCTGGCGCTGTGAGGCTGCAGTGCTAACCACTGAGCCACCGTGCCGCCTCAGGATGTGGAAGCCTTGGAAAGGGTGCAGAGGAGATTTACCAGGATGTTGCCTGGTATGGAGGGAAGGTCTTATGAGGAAAGGCTGAGGGACTTGAGGCTGTTTTCGTTAGAGAGAAGAAGGTTAAGAGGTGACTTGATAGAGGCATACAAGATGATCAGAGGATTAGATAGGGTGGACAGCGAGAGCCTTTTTCCTCGGATGGTGATGGCTAGCACGAGGGGACATAGCTTTAAATTGAGTGGTGATAGATATAGGACAGATGTCAGACGTAGGTTCTTTACTCAGAGAGTAGTAAGGGTGTGGAATGCCCTGCCTACAAAAGTAGTAGACTCGCTAACTTTAAGGGCATTTAAATGGTCATTGGATAAACATATGGATGATAATGGAATAGTTTAGTTTAGATGGGCTTCAGATTGGTTTCACAAGTCGGCGCAACATCGAGGGCCGAAGGGCCTGTACTGCACTGTAATGTTCCATGTTCTATGTTCTAAAAGCCCAGATATAACTAAGATTACTGTCACTTGTTCTGTGAGACCCTCCCTGGAGAGGATGCTGTCTTTCACTCATTGGGATATTGACATTGGAGACACCTCATTCCAAATATCATGGAGTATTCTTGACTGAACGTCTTGCACTAACTGACCATCGGTAACTGACTTTCGGCCAAGCGTATTTATGTCTTTTTGTTTATGGTAGACACTGTTTCCATGCTCTGGAAAGTGATTTGAGGGTTTTTTCCAGCTAGATTAGAGACGGAGTCATAGTCATGGAGTTGTGTAGCACAGAATCAACTCATCCATGCCAACCAGATATCCTAAATTAATCTAAACCCATTTGCCAGCATTTGATCCATAACCCCCTAAACCCTTCCTATCCATGTACCCATCCAGATGCCTTTTAAATGTTGTAATTGTACCAGCCACCACCACGGCCCCGGCAGCTCATTCCAGCTCTTCCCCAGGAAGACGGACCGAACATGCAAGTACTCCAAGCAGTGATTTTAAACAGTGACAGCAACACCAGAGGGTGTCAGCAGGTTCCAGTCAGTAGAGTATTCCACTTGCTGAGGTTCCAGATGACGAAAATTTTGCAGTAGATGGTAAACTTTATCTAAAATTGCAATTGCAATATTTGCATTTCTGTCAACAGTCACCTTGATACCAACTTGTAGCACTCTTCTTTTTTCACCTCAGATTCTCTTGCCTGGCTTCCCTTTCTCTTCTGTGTCCCAGATTTGCAACGCTAACCAATTCCAAACATTATCACAATCACAGCACTCCGAGTGTTGGCCTGAGCTTCAATCAATTAAAGCAGGCCTACAGTTAATTATAGAGAACATCCAAAAACAATTGAATTGCAGCAAAAGCTTGCAGAAGCAACCCAGCAATTAAACAGCAAGCAGCTTCTGATCATATTAAAACTGGCCATGGTGGATTAAGACTGGAGCAAGCTGTTGTAAAAGTTGTACGTTTTTAATTGTGGAATGAAAAATGGGAAAATAATTTTAGAAAAAGGATTGTGGAAAGAATTAGTGGATGTATTGAAAAAAATGCCTGACACTTACTTTGAATGTTATTTACACAGCTGTTGCTTCAAGTAGTGAGCGAGGCTGTTTGTAACCAGGCCCACATCAGGAGGGTGTTTACAAAGTGACATTCAGCCAGCAACAAGTAACTGATTGGCTGTGAAATTGTGACCAGTTGTGGATATGAAAAGTCATCAGCCTAACAACTTTCTGATCGGCTCCTGGGCAGCTGAACAGCTTATGGATGCGAATGATACCAGCAGAAGCCTCCAGACTGCAAATGGAGCAGGTGGTTTATCTCTCACTGGTAAAATACTACAAACCTGACGAAAGTGTTTCAGAGCTAGTAGGAGCTGCAGATGCTGGAGAATCTGAGATAACAAGGTGTAGAGCTGGATGAACACAGCAGGCCAAGCAGCATCAGAGGAGCAGGAAGGCTGACGTTTCGGGTCTGGACCCTTCTTCAGAAAATGAA